TGGTTTCCGCCAGAAGTAAAGAAAAAAAAAAAAAAAAAAAAGGCGGAAAATGACTTCTGCCAAATTTTGGCGGAAGTCATTTTCCGCCAAATTGAGCACATTTTCCCCAGTCAACGGAAAATATTTTCCGTTGATTGGATTTTCCAAGTGTAGCCAAACACCAAAAACCGGGAAAATGATTTCCAGAAATCATTTTTTGGGTTTCCAAACACAGCCTGAGTCTTCAATTATGAATTTTTTCAAGAAAATAAAAATATAGCGAGTCAACTCACTTTGTAAAAAAAAAAAAAAAAAAAGATCTGGGAGACCAAAAATGTTTTAATTGGAAATGGTAAAAAATGGCATTTATTTAAAATAAGAAGGATAAGATGAAAATAAAAATTAACAGGGCGTTTGGTTGGAGAGGGGAATTACGTGGGAAAGGATTTGCAATTCCATGAGAGATGAATTATTGGGAATAAAGTGGGAATTTAAATTCCAATGTTTGGTTGACAGGAATAGAATTACTGGGAATTTCAATTCCAATGTTTGGTATGCATGGGAATTGAAAGGGAATAAAGTCCAAAATGTCCATTGTTGTTGTCAAGCATTAATTTTAAGTTAAAAAAGGGAGGGGTAATTTTGACTCATCACTATCTTTTTTTCTTCCTAAAATTCTAGGGACATGGGATTTTAATTCCATGAAAATGGGGGAATTGCAATTCCTTTCAACCAAACAAGGAAATTTTGTGGCCTTTGGAATTAGGTGGGAATTAAGTGAGAAGAGAATTTAAAATCCCTTCAACCAAACGCCCTGTAAGAAGCTGTTAACTTATTTTTGAAACGCTACTTAAATAGCGTTTCAAAATAAACTCTTATTTTAAGCTACTAACTTATTTTAAGAACATTATTAAACAAAGCTTATAACTTATTAGTAGTTTAAAATAAGCTATAAATTCAAAATAAATAAACTCTGCCTAACAGAGCCAACTAATACAAACTTTCAGATTTGTAATAGATGTGAAATAGCTATGAAACTAACGTGTCATGTTTTTTCTTATGTTCTAGTTATTGTCCATCAGAAATGGACAAATCATCATGTTAGTCTACACTTCTTTCATGAAATCTAATAAAGACACTTTTTTGTTTTCTGGATAAATTATAACTTACAAAAGACATATTTTATAAGAGCGTAGCGGCATATTTAATAAGTTGATGTTATACATGCACCTACATTTGCCTTTTCCTACTTTATTTTGGATTCTATCCCAACATTGTGTGGGTTGAAACTTTAATTTGAAGTCCTACAATGGTGGCCCAGTGGCCTTGTGGTGTTTAGCAATCATTATTGGGTGGACCATATTTTGAATGTTATAAAATAATGTACATTTAGTACAAAAATAATATATTTTTAATATATTAATAATGTACATTGTATTCAGAAAAAGTATATTATTTGAGTACTGAATGTACATTCTTTTATATAATGTACATTCAATACACAAATAATATACATTTAGTATATCAATATGTACTTTTTGTTATAGTTCGTAGCACTGTGTGGACCATGGTTCACACAATAATCTGCCAGTGTTTAGTTAATGCCCATTACGACTTTTTGTTATAACACTGTGTGAACCATGATTCACACAATAATCTGTCAGTATTTAGTTAATGCCCATTACGACTTTCAATTATGGGTTTAATTAAATTGCAAATTATATCGTGAATTATGATCCACATTGTAATGTGGACCATGAATAAATATTTATTTTTAATATATTAAAAGTACATTATTTGTGTACTAAATATTTATTATTTGACAGTACTAAATAATGAACATTCAATACTAAAATAATGTATCTTGAAAAATGAAGATTTTTTTTTTTTAAAGGTGGAAAATGAAGTTTTAATGTATTCAAAATGTATCTTTGTATATTAACAAGTACTTTATGTCAGTGGTCCACCTTACAAGATGGATCATGATCCATGTATAATAATATTTTTTCATTATCCAATATAATAGAATTTTTATTTGTAGTTTTTAATTTTAATTTGTTCCACTATTAATTGTTAATTTTTTTTAAAATATATTACTTTTGATCCAAAAATTATAAAATAAAAAATAAAAAATAAAAAAATAAAAAAAGAATGTTTACTTTATGAAAATTTCACCAAACTTCATCATATTATATTTAGGAGTCCGTATGAAAAATCAAAAAATGACTTCTAGAAATTATTTTCTTAATTTTCTCAGTGTTTGGCTACTCAAAGGAAATTAGGAAAATCATCATTATGGTTAACAAAAAAATGTTCAATTTGGCGAAAATGTCTTCATAAATTTTTAGTCGAAAGACATTTTTCAGATGATTTATTTTTCAATCTCTCTTTTCTCTCATTTCTTTGCAAGCTAGTTTTCAAATTATTACTATTACAGCACGTTTGGTTCACGGAATGAATTTTGAGGTAATAGGAATGCTATTTCATAAGAAATTGAATAGGCAAGGAATAGAATAGGAATTGTATCTATTGTTTGGTTCACGGAAGGAATAGACTTTATGAATTATATTACAGTGTTTGGTTGATTTAAGGGATAGAAATGAAATATGTTTTAAAAGATATAAATACCCTTATAAAAATATGTGATGGTGGCGATGGTGGTGGTGGTGGTGGTGGCGGTGATGGTGGTGGTGGCGGTGGTGGTGGTGGCGGTGGCAGTGGTGGGGGCGACGGTGGTGGTAGTGACGGTGACGGTTGACGATGACGGTTGTGGTAGTAGTGGTGGCGACGGCGACGGTTGTGGTGGTGGCAGTGGTGCTGCTGGGTGGTGGTTCTGGTGGCGGTGGTGGTGGTGGCGGTGACGGCGATGGTGGTGGCGGTGGTGGTGGCGGTGGCGGTAGTGGTGGTGCTGGGGTGGTAGTGGTGGTGGTGGCGGTGGCAGTGGTGGGGGCGACGGTTGTGGCGGTGGTGCTGCTGGGTGGTGGTTCTGGTGGCGGTGGTGGTGGCGGTGGTGGTGATGGTGGTGGTGGCGGTGGTAGTGGTGGTGGTGGCAGTGGCAGTGGTGGGGGCCGCGATGGTGGTGTTGGTGGTGGCGGCCCGACGACGGTGGTGAAATAGGATAAATTTATATATAGGCTAATAAAATTAGGTTAAAGAATGGGGTAAAAAAAGGAAATAGATTCTAAAATCTATTCCTAAGCGTTCAGTAATAGGCTAATACCAGGGGGCCCTAGTAATAGCTATTACCTTATTTGAGGTAATAGGCTATTACCAGGAATATTATTCCTGGTAATAGAAATGGTTACCAAACAACGGAATAGGCCTATTACTGGGAATGCTATGCCATTCCCGGCCTATTCCGTGAACCAAACGGGCCATTAGAGATGGCAATGTGCCCCGTCCCCGACGGGAGTCCCCGATCCTTGCCCCGACAACGACGGGGATGGGAAAAATTTTCAGGGAACGGGGACGGGGACGGGGAATACGTGTGATTCCCCGCCGAGGACCGGGACGGGGATACCCCTCCCCGCCCCGCGCCGTCCCCGAATAATTATATATATATATATATATATATATATATATATATATATATATAATGTAGTATACTATAGCATTACTGTCACTTATATATACTATATATATACTATAATAGCAACATTAATTATATATATAGCTCATTACAGTGTTAATGCACTGTACAGTATATATACTACATATATATAATTTTATATATATATATATATATATATATATATATATATATATATATATATATATATATTGTTGACTTGGTACTTTAAATTTGAAACTAGAACTTAGATTTTATTTATTTTTTATGAAAAATTACAATTGTTTAACATTTTGATTAATAGTTGACGGGGAATGGGGAATCCCCGTCCCCGCCTAATTCCTCGTGGGGACGGGGATGGGGAATATTTTCAATTTCCCGTCGGGGACAGGGACGGGGATGAGGACGGGGTCGCGGGGACGGGGAGTATACTCCCGCCCCCGCCCCGCCCCATTGCCATCCCTAATTATTATCACCACCACCAGCAACACCACACTACCACCATCATCACCACCACACCACCACTATAACCACCCACAATCACTAACACCACACAACCATCATGACACCTCCACCACCATCACCACTACACACCACCACTAACACTAACACCACCAATATCATCATCACCACCACCAAACCACTACCATCACCACGACACAATTACCACCATCACCGTCATCACTATCCCCTCCCCCCCCCCCCCCCCCCACCACCAGTACCAACACCAACACTAACACTAACACTAACACCACCACCACTACCACTTATTATTATTATTATAATAAATAATATGTTCATTTTTTGAAAAATGAACCAAATAGAAAAAATACAATTTTATTAACTTTCAACTAAACAAAAATAAAATGTAGTTTTATGAGATGTAGTCAAACACTAGAGAATTAATTTTTTTTAAAAAAAAAATTGAATAATTTTCTAGAAATATTTTCATATTTCCAAACGGATCCTTAAAGGTATTTTAAATTATTGATGAAATATTTTTAAAAGTTGAAAACAAAAAGTGAAATTGTTACTATAATTGAAGAGCCATATGTAAAATAAACTTTTTATAAATTATTTGTGAGTAGTGACTTTTGTCTGTTCAAGAAGGGTATCATTTTGTAATTAGATGCATTTTATAGATTGAATATATACAATACAAAAAAGTGAGTCAAAAAGGTTATATTATACCTAATCAAAATATTATAAATGCATATATGAGAGCTTCTAATATAACTATATTCTATATATTAACATATTATAACGTATTTATATATAAGAAAAAAAACATATTGCAATTTAATAGAAAATACATATATGTTTGATTCTAAATTAATCAAAATTATGGTAACATAAAATAGAATGTGGGGCCGCATTGAATTAGGATATGAAATGAAGGGGTTCATTCGAAATTTCCCGAAAAATGAAAGACAAAATGAAAAATAGAGGCCCCTCCATGCAAAATCGCGGACCAAACAAACCCTAGGATGACATCCCCAGCCAAACATGAAAAGTGTGGTCTTATCCCAAGATTACCCTATTCCTACACCTCCTCGCGTTTATCTGCGTTGAAGAACAGGTACCCTTCTCTATCAAATACTCTATATTGCAGCGTACTCCTTCACAGAACTATATTTCTCCTGCTTTTTTTTTTTCTTTAAATTTAAATAAAAGAAAAAAAAAAAAAAGAATGTTCTTTTTCTGCCCCAATTTGATCGTAACTGTTGAATCTGGGTTTTCAGTTTCTTTAAGGGTGTAATGTATGTAATGACATTTTGTGCAATCTTCTGCGGTTGAAGTGATTAGTAGTTGGAATTCTTTGTAATGAATGGATCTGAGATTGGGTTTGAGAGTAAAGGGAGTTTCAAGATTGGATTTTGGCTTCTTGGAGGGGAAAAAAGAGATTAAAAGTGGATTGAATTGATGAGGATTTGGAACGGATAGAATGGAATTTGGTTCCAACTGTGGATAAATGATACTAAAGAATTGGATTCCTCTAAAAGTTTGGTGCTTTTATGGATTATACTTAGGGGAATCAAATGTGAGGATGAGAACTGTGGGTGTGCTTAAAATGAGAATGAGAATGAGAAAGTTGTGAGTTTGATCAAATTTTGAGATATTTCCCAAGTGTTTGATGTTTATGTCGAGTTGGTTGAAGTTCTGATAGTGGCATGAGAAACAAGACTTAAGTGTCTAAAACTTAAGAACAAATTGCTCTTAGTTGCTTATTGAGTTATTGATCTTAAGACTTTTGGAGTTGATTTTGGTGAGGTTTTCTCGGGGCTCTGATTTATCATTGACAGAACCATTTTGAAAGTTTAATGTACTTTTGAAGGCTTAGTATGAATCAGGAGCTTATTGATTCCTAGAGAAAACGATTACTCGAACCAAAACTATGATTTATGTACTTGCATCATCATTTCTTGACCATTTGCTCATTCAAGCCCCTTAATGACAATGGCTTTCCCCTGAATAGCAGGATTCCATGCGATTTAACAACTGACATGTTTTAAATGAATCAGATGGAATAGGGCAAGTTACGATTGTTCCACTTAGTGGTGGTCCTAGAAACGAAAATGCAGTGTGCTCTGTTGCATTGGGCACAGGGCAACGTGGGCAGCTGCGGGTCCTACCTGCTAAAACTATTGGTTTTTTTGCTTTAGGTCGAGTGTGCTTTTCTTTTTCAGCAGAAACTAGAAAGAGTGCTAGCATTGAGATTATTATGATCCTAACACACTAACCTTGGTGTCAAACCCACCATTTGTGTCCGGCAGCCCGCCCTTTTAATGTCAAGTAATGTTAAATTCAAATGTCAAACTAATGAAGCAATTCAGTTGCAAATAAAATTTACGTTCCATTTTAAAATATGTCAGGGGAGCCATGGAAGACGATTCTTGTAGCAGCAGTGAAACTTTGAGATCTAACTGGACACATGTCATGGACGACTATTTTATCGAACTTTTACTGGATCAAATACAGAAAGGGAACAGGACCAGTACTTCGTTTAGCAAACAGGCCTGGCTAGAGATGATTGCACTCTTTAGCCATAAATATAAATGCAAGCATGATACAGATGTTTTGAAAAACCGGTACAAACACTTGAGGAAACAGTATCATAACACAAAGATTCTTGAACAGAATGAATTTATTTGGGACGATAGTAGACAGATGGTAACCGGTAATGATGAGAAATGGGATGATTATATCAAGGTACAAATGTTCGACCAAAAATTTTCAAATCATCTTAAGATTATTGCACATTATATACTTGTATCCTTTGTTGTGTGTGTAGGCCCACCCTGAAATGGAACCGTATAGAACAAAAGTTGTGCCTTACTACAATGAACTGCGCATTATATTTGGGCATACAGTTGCTGACGGAAGATACAGCCTTTCGTGCTTCGATATTGACTTTGAGAACGAAGGTATAATGCTCTCAATCACACGAGTTTGACACTATTTTTCAGTTCTGATTGCATCTTTTATTCTGGTTAAGAGTCTTGGTAAAATAAGAGAGAATATATGGGTTTATAAGGCCATGAGTTACACTAGCTAATTGGTTGGATTCAATCTTTTAGTGTGGTTTGGCTCATGTGCATTATAGCCCCAATTGAGTGACCATAGCCCAATCTAAGATTATAACTATTCTTTTGTGTGGCATCTCTAGTGAAAATATTGGAGGATAAGATCCCTACCAAAGACGACGCTAAAAAGATTGATTGGTCTGAGACAATGGAGCAGCATTTTATTCAACTTATGCTGGAGCAGGTGCAGGAAGGGAATAAATTAAACCGTACTTTCAAGAACAAAGCATGGATCCACATGATTACAGCCTTTAACACAGCATTCGGGTTTCAGTACGGTAAAGTAGTGTTGAAAACTCGTTTCAATCTTCTAAGAAGGCAATATTTTGCGGTAAAATATCTTCTGAGTCAAGATGGGTTTATGTGGCATGAGAGACATCAGATGATAGTGGCTGAAGATCGCGTCTGGAAGAAAGTCATTAAGGTAGGAACTCTTCTTCCTTGCTATCTGATCTGGTCGCCTCAATTGAAGCATGTGCTCCATCTCAACTAAAAGTCTAAGTTGATAGTTAGATTGCACACTTATGTTTATATATTATAGGAATAAGGATCAAATAGGCCACTGAACTGCACACCAAACTACAATTAGGTCATCGAACTCAAAAAAGATGCAATTAGGTCCCTGAACTACACAAATTTATGCAATTAGGTCTAAAATGACCTGTTTACTTGCTATGTAGGTTGCGAATGTTAAAAATAATTTTTAAATAATTAAAAAAAAAAAAAAAAAAAAAAAAAAAAAAAAAAAAACAGAACGGCCGGAGATGAAATCGTCTCCGGCCGTCCTTCGTCTCCATGGCAGGAGACGAAGACCCTTCGTCTCCCTGGCCGGAGAGACGAAGACCCTTCGTCTCCATGGTCAGGAGACGAAGGTCTCTTCGTCTCCCTGGCCGGAGAAACGAAGATCTCTTCGTCTCCTGACCATGGAGATGAAGGGTCTTCGTCTCTCCGGCCAGGGAGACGATCTTGGTCGTCTCCATGGCTGGAGACGAAGGCCGTTCTGTTTTTTTTTTTTTTTTTTTTTTTTTTTTTTTTTAATTAATTTTTTGTTTAAAATTATTTTTAAAATCCACAACCTCCACGTCAGCAAAGTATTAGGTAAACAGGTCATTTTAGGCCTAATTGTATGAATTTGTGTAATTCAGGGACTCAATTGTACTTTTTTTGAGTTCGATGGCCTAATTGCAACTTGGTGTGCAGTTCAGTGGCCTATTTGACCCTTATTCCTATATTATATATGCTCAACAGTCTCTATCTAGACTAGTTTCACACATTGTTTTAGTGCAGGCACAACAATATTTTCGGAGGTATAGAAACAAATCGCTGTCCTTCTACAAAGACATGTCCATCATATGCGGGAACGAAACTCCAACCTTTCAGTATGGATACCCCTTTGTAAAAGCCGGTGAGTTTTGCGTGCCGATTATCCAGACAACGGGAAAGGAGGGTAATTTGAGGGAGGTGGAAGAGATTGTGGAGGATGATGACGAGAGAGAGGAGAAGAAATGTCGGTATGATACTAAAGAACCTAAAGAACCCTGTAAGGGGCCATCTGAAATAAATGAAGAGACAGAAATAGAAATAGGTATGGAAGATGCTATGCAGGAAATGGTAGCAGCTGTAACAGCACTAACAAAGGAAGAGAAGAAGAAGAAGAAGAACAGTTTGTTGATAGAAGATGTGATTTATATACTACAAGCTATGCCAGAGATGGATGATGATGATGATCTATTGCTTGATGCCTGTGACTTCCTTGAAGATGATAATAAAGCTAAGGTGTTTCTGGCATTGGATCCTGGTTTGCGAAAGAAATGGTTACTGAGGAAACTGCGCCCACAGTAACAAGTTCTTATTGTAAAGTAAATCCCTTTCTTTGATCATTATTATTTGTGAATAGTAGACAAGTTATAGTGCTCTGCATATTTTGTTTGGTATTTGGTTTTTTTATTTTTTCCCTTTTGAGTGTGAGTAAATCTCATCTCCTGACCCTAGCCAGGAAAGGACCACAAGTAAATTAGCATAGGTTACCCTTAGGCCTTAGCTGATTGGCTCAAACCAATGAAGCAAGAATTCAAACTTGTGACCTTGTGGTTACAAGCGTAGATCTCTTGCTATCTTAAGAGGGTGTATTCAATCATGACTTTTGTAGAGTTTTAAAGACTTTTAAAATGATAGATTTTAATAAACTTTGATTGACTTTCATAGAGTCGTCAAAACTTTTTAAAACTTTATAATACTCTATAAAAGTCTATATAAAAAATATTCATAGATTTTTATCAACTTTTTATTTTAAAAAGTCTACAAAAAGTCATTGAAATTCTAAATTGAATACATCCTTACAAACTTTTGAAATTCTTATCATTTATAATTTTTTTACAAAAACATTTATAATATATCATAAAATTTTCTTATTATGTAGTTCTTCACCCACATCAACATTCTCAACATTATTATTTTTATCCATAGTGTGTTGAGACTTATATGCTAATTACTTTTATTTATATATATATATATATATATATATATATATATATATATATATATATATATATATATAGAGCTAATTACAGTTTTGGTCCTATGACTATAGGGAGCGTGTTAATTTCAGTACTTGACTTTAAAAACTAACAATTTAACCCCATAACTATGTAATTTTTAACACATTTGGTCCTTCCGGCCAAATCACCGGTCAAATGTCGTCGGAAAAATGTAAACCATTTTCATTTGTTTATTCATAGGGGCAAAATGGTCAATTGACGTTTAAAAAATAAATAAATAAAAATTATCTGGTGGAAATCGTACAGCATAGAACGCAATCCTCCGTCGGATAACCTCGCTGTAAGCCAAAGCTTCCCGTCGTCGCCAGTGACATCCTGCAGCACAGAACACCATCTTCTGCCGTCGTCCACGTATGCTCGTAGTCGCTGCCCGACTCACCTCTCAGTTTTTTTCTAGTTTTGCCATTATGACCCAGAAAATGAAAAATTAATTCCATTGAATTTTCTTCTCCATTTCCAGTGGAAGCATGGGTTAATCAAACTCAGAAACTGCACAGTGTTCGTATTAATTCATTAGATATTTAGGTGTTGGCATGCGTTTTGGTTGTGATGCCTTTTATTTTGTGTTACCCAATTTGGAATTTCGGCAATTCCAGTATTCGGTGGACCAATTGGCGGCAAATAGGCTGCACGAGATCTGTTCTACTGGATTGTTTTAGTTGTGCCCACAAACTGTTTGTTGATATTCCCCAAAGAGGTTGATGAAGGAGATCTGTGTAAGTTGAGCTGGTGAGGTCAGTCGGTTTGGATCCACAGTTAAGGAGCTTGCCTGAATAAACACAAACTAAGATGGTGGACGAAGCGTCCGGAGGGGAAGGAAGAAGAAGGCTTGAAATGACAGATTTACCCCCATGATTAAATAATTAAAAATAGTTTATATTTTTCCGGTGACATTTGGTTGTTAATTTGGCCGGGAGGACCAAATGTGTTAAAAATTGCATAGTTGCGGGACTAAATTGTTAGTTTTTAAAGTCAAGTACTGAAATTAACACGCCCCCTATAGTCATAGGACTAAAAGTGTAATTTGCTCTATATATATATATATATATATATATATATATATATATATATATATATATATATATATATATAGGGACGCACTCAGGTGCGAATAAGTGCCCAGGAAGGAAATGCGAACGAATCAGCGCGTGACACGTGTCCAGATCTAATAACTTAAAAAAAACGCGGTGGCATTTTCGTAAATAATTGAACATCGAAGTGCAAGTAAAATCTCTTATAAGTGCACCTATTTTCACCTATAAATGCATGTAATTTTGCCTTGTTAGCATTCACTTTCCGCAACCATTCATGCACCTGGGTGTGCTTATAACTATATGTGCAACTATTTATAACTATAGGTGCAACTACTTATAACTATATGTGCACCTACTTTCACCTATAAGTGCATGTAATTTTGTCTTGTTAACATTCATTGATCTGAGTTCGGGTAGTAATACTCCTAAAAACCACTCGCAAACATTCATACACCTAGATGCAACTACTTATACCTATGTGTGCAACTACTTAGAACTATAGGTGCAACTACTTAGAACTATAAGTGAAACTAAGTATTGATACTCAGTGTAAATTTTTACTTGCACCTATAATACATTTTACATGCACTTGTAATACATTTTACTTGCACTTCAATGTTCAATTATTTACGAAAATGCCACCGCGTTTTTTAAAAAAATCAGTGTTTCTCATCCATTAGATCTGGACACGTGGACGAACAGAATTCATTCCTATTTCGCACCTGGGCGAGCCGTTCGCACCCGAGTGCAACTCTCTCTCTCTCTCTCTCTCTCTCTCTCTCTCTCTCTATATATATATATATATATATATATATATATATATATATATATATATATATATATATATATATATATGTCAAAAATAAATTATTTCATTAGAAATTTATAACAATATTGAATAATAAATTTATAATAAAAGAATTATCAAATAAAATATTTAAAAATATAATTACGAGTTGCATAAAATAAATAAAATAAAAATCTAATATATATATATATATATATATATATATATATATATATATATATATATATATATATATAATTCTACTTGATATATTGCTAGGCATTACGCAAAGAACTATTATTTGCAATAGTAATTTGAGACTGCGAACAACAACAAGGTGTTATTGTTTGCAACCTCAAATTGTTGTTGCGAACAGTAGTTCGCTATTCGTAGTAACTTGTTAATATATATATATATATATATATATATATATATATATATATATATATATATATATATATATTACGAATATAAACATAAAAAGAATAAAAATCAAAATATATAAGTATTTATATGAATGTTATGAAACATATACTAAAAAATTTGCTTTGTTCATGTATTTAGGGAGAATTAGAGAATGTTAGGGATAAAAAGTTCATAGAAAAAATAAAAATCAATATAAACAAGCAATAATGAAGTAAAAATAACATTATTTCGAATTTTTAGAGGAAGATTGTAAAGTTTAGGAGAGAGAAAAATTGGTAGAGTTTAGGTATGAGGAAAATATAGGATAATGAAGAAAAAAATAATTTTATTAAATTTAGATAGGTTTATAAAGTTTAAATTGGGAGAAAAATAGAGTTTAAATAGAGATAGAAAACATTCAAAGTTGTTAGAAAGAAAATTTTGAAATATGGGGATTGATTGTTGGATTTCAACTATTTATATTTGAGAAGAAAAAGTCTACAAAAGTCTTAAAATTAAAAAGTCTACAAAAGTTAATAACTTTTTGAATACCACATGACTTTTAAAAACTCTCTAAAAGTCTTAATCGAATACCACACGACTTTTAAAGACTTTTTAAAAGTCGTGATTGAATACCGCATGACTTTTAAAGACTCTCTAAAAGTTTAAATTGAATACCCTCAAACTTTTAAAGTTTATAAAAGTCTTTAAAACTATATGAAAGTCATGATTAAATACACCCCCCTTAGTTCTTAATTGGGATTACCCCGTATTTGCTTTCTTCTTACCATACTTGATGACTTACTTGTCAGTTGTTATACCATGGAGTAGGGCCCATTTTACATTTTGGACCCCCTCTAAAAATTCAATCGTTATACCCTACACCACGGCGCACATAGCACTGTGCGCCGCGCGCCTCCCAAAATGACGTCGTTTTGAGAGGTGCGGTAGGAAGTTGCTGGGATTATGTGTATTTGTTCACACAGTTATGTGTATTTGTTCATACAGTTATGTGTATTGGTTCATACAGTTATGTACATTTTTTATACAATTATGTACATTCTTTTTATACAATTATGTACATCCGAATCAGAAAATTTGTGTGTATTATGTTAATAGTTGATGTGTATTATGTTAAAAGTTTATGTTTATTATGTATTATGTTAGATTATGTGTATTATCTTTTAAAAAGAGTATGTATATTTTGTTATATAATTATGTACATCCATGTATACAATTATGTGTATTCTAGTATAACATTATGTACATTCTTGAACAGCGAGTTTTTTTTTAAAGAAAAAACTACTGCCATTCACTGGGGCGGGAAATTTCAAAAAAAAAAAATTAAAAATTAAAACGACGTCGTTTTGCATCTGGGCGCATAGTGCAACACGCGCCGTGGTGTAGGATATAAATTGCCCTAAAAATTATATGTTTGGAGTTGATATATTGGGGGTGTTTGGTAACTCAGCCTATCAGCCAAAATTGGTTAATTTGACTATGATTGGTTGTTTGACTTTGGCCCTGTTTGGTAAAATATTAGTCTATCATCCAATTTTGACTTATTTGACCACTATTAATTATTTGATTGGGTTAAAAAATCAATTTCAAAATACTAAAATTCAAAAAGCTACTCAAAACAGCTTTTTCAATTAGCTTTTTGAGAAAATAAAGTATACTAAACATCTATCAGCTAACAGTTAATTTACCAAACACCTTCCTACAATCAGTTAATGTTATGAACTAGTTATATCATCTAATTATGAACTAGTTATACCATCTAATTAACCTAATTAGTTAACAGTTATCAGCTAACAGTTATTTACTAAACAGGGCCTTTATGAATCATCCAATTTAAGTGTTTGGTAAGATAACTTTTTGAGATGGTTGATTTGCCCAAACAGCCAATTTAGAAAAGGCTATTGGTTGGAGCGTTTCTTCTTGGCCGTTTGCACAATTCTCTCATTTGCCCTTGTTAGATCTTCTGTGCAGTTCTCTCCTCCCAGCTCTCCCTTCTCTGAGGTAATCTCTATCCCTCGCATCTCTTCTCTGTCACACCCTTGGCTTGAAAACTTAGGGTTTATGTCACATTCTCTGAGGTAATCCCTATTACCTGTACTGGACCAGCGACCAAATCAGACCAATGAGGTTAGAATAGGTGTTGGGGTTTTGTTTAAGCTTGCGCCAAACCATGATTAAGATTAGATTAATGGGACATAAATATTGTAGGATTCGAATTGCTTTATGTAGCTTTACTGCGCAGTAAAGAAATCGCATGCCCTTCATCTCCAAGATGGAATATGATGGAAC